CTGTCCTAAAGTGGTACAGAGGACTGGCTGAACAAAGTGAATAAAGGGAAAAAAAGTACTCAAGAAACTATAGCCACAAACTTAACTTCTGACTTCTTCCCACTCCTCAGTCCAGGCCCCATCCCCTGAGATTTTAACCTTCAGGAGACATCAATTGTGTGATCCAAGAATGCTCACAACTTAAACTAGATCTTGCTAATATTAAAGGATATATGGGGACAAATGACCAATAGCTTCCAGAAGCCCCTATAACTTTTTCCAACTCAAATTGAAAACATGTATAAATATAAATGACTCTATGGATCACAGCTAATAGGAACAAGATATACCAAGCTCCCTTGCCAATACTCCAATTTAATCTAATCATCATTCTTTGTGATTTTCAGCATATAGATATGTTCGTGTGTGTGTGTGTGTGTGTGTGTGTGTGTGTGTGTGTGTGTGTGTGTGTTCAGACAAGATGTATACTGGAGCTTCGGTGGATATGATCTTACTAAAACCATCACCTGTTGTCACCAGTAGACCTCACATAATCTCAAACAGTAGTCCTTAAGAAATTCCAAAGTAGATAGATGTTCTACAAGATAAACAGTTCAAACTCCTTGGGATTAGCAACTATATCTTTTCCACTCAAGACTACTGGAGCAAAAGTGCCCTCTTACAAAGTGCCAGTTAGCATTAATTGTTCAAGGTTCAAGATAACTGATAGGCAACTTTACTAACATGACTTTACTATGACAGTGTCTAGCTGTTCTGTAAGGCTGAAATTAACCAGGCCTAAACACCAAAAACCCATGAAGATAACTAAAGACCTATATTTCTTATAAGTACAGATGTAAAAGTCCCCAGTAAAATATAAGCACGTTAATTTTAGTGATATGTACACAAGATCACCAACCACAGATGTCCTGTGTCCCAAGAATGTAATGTATGTGTAAGGCAATCTATGTATTTACTATACCATATCAACAAAACACAAGATGAAACCCACATTATATTTGAGTGGACATAGAAAACATTTGACTAAATTCATCATTAAATGACAAAAACACTCAAGGAACCATGATAGAGAAAGAACTTCCTCAGTTTGGTTAAAACCATCTATAAAATTCTTCAACTTGCTTTCTCTCTATCAATATAGTCAGCATCTACCAGGATTCAATCAGAAGCTCCCAGGCAGCAGTCAATGACTAATGAGGAAGTAGGTTGGCAAGCAGAGACATGATGAAAAAGATGTGTCATCATCTGAGATGGCAGAGAAAGGAGACAACATGCATTTACATAGGAAGCACACATAGCTTTCAGCCTAGTATCTATCTCTACTGCAATTAAATCACCTGTATATAAACATGTATTGCAAGAACACTGCTGTAGCATTATTCAGAGTAAAATAAATAACAACAACAACAACAAAATAACAGAAAAAAGAAGGAAATAAAACACCTCCTGTCACAGAAGACTAAAGTATTGAAATAATTTACACCATTACATAATAGATCACTGTTAAAACCCAGGTGACCTTGGTTATCTAACCTATCATAAAGATTCAACAGACAAGTTTAGCATAGAATTAGACTGTTAATCACACGAACTTTTGCAATGGCAATAGAAGGATCCACTCTCAGAAGAGGGCAGGCTTCGACCATCTCTATACCAGGGTCTGCCTGTGGACTCCTAGCCAAGTGTGTATGGCTATCTGTGCTCTTAGCTGGCATGGTGCAATCTACTCTCAAAGTCTTCTGTAACAATTAGAAAGGACTCAGTGGTGCTTTTCGCCTAGCTTTCTCTTCATGTCTCTTTTTCTATGTGTTACTCTTTTTCTGGAATAGTTTTCTCTTTCCCCCTCTTTTCCTTGCCTTTTCTATTTTTGTCTCTACCATTTTCCTATCTCTTGGCTTTCTTCTATCTTTGTCCGTCGAGAGACCACTTTTCAGACATGCATTCCTCTGTGGATGCTATGTTTATGAAATGGAGAGTTTCCTGCATATAATTTAGCAAATATCCTGTTTGGTTTTTCTTAAAGAAAATAATATTATCCTATGTTATGCTGGTATGGCTTGTATTCCCATTATCCTTCACTAATTTGGGAGGTAGGTAGGGGTTTATTATGTGGCTACTTCATTGTGATTAGAAAACCCATCACTGTCCTAATAGCATGACTCCATTGTTTCTTTCTGTTGCAGGGGATTTTGATTATGTTGATGATCTTCAGCATTGCTGAATTGTTCATTTCCCTCTTTTCCTCAACTTTGGGATACTCCTCGGAAGAACTTGAGGGATGCTGTTGTTGAATATCACTGTACAAATAAAGGTGCAAAATGATACAACTTAGAAGCCAGTACTGCTTTTAAAACATTTTTATCAATTTCTAGCAGTGTGTTGGGAGCCAGTTTCTCCATTTTCCAAGCCTTGGTTACTCTAAACATGAAACAATCAGTTGATACTGTGTGTGTGTATATGAAGGGACACTTGATGAAAGTCACCTTCCTATTAAAAGTGTTAGATCTTCTTTCAGAACACAAAGAACTACAAAAAATGTTAAGTGCTTGAACTTACATGTACAATGTTGGGATCATCAGGCTTGTAGCCACATTTGATTTCACTCCAACACTGAGTCTCGCTCTGAGGAACCAGCTTCTTACCAACACTCTGAAACAAAAACCCTCTGAAGGCAGATAATTGTGGGTGCCAGGGTTCTGCTGAGCAGCTGACAGCACATTATCGCTTTACTTCCTAATTCTGAGCAGCCTGCTGGCCCTCACCTTCAGGGGAGAAAAAGCCAAACAGAACCCTTGGGTCCTGTAACATTGCTGAAAGCACAAGACTCAGAAAGGCCCAGCTATTAAAGGACATGGGGACCAAAGGCTAAGAAAAGGACATGAATAATCATGATGTAGAATGCAGTGTTCGGAAGAGGGAATCACAGTGCTGAGGCAAAGACTGCGAATATATGTGGGTCTGCAAACGCTAACTGGATAAGAGTAGTTATTCTTTGTGCACGCTGTCAGACAGCATCTTTCCGAAACTGGAAGCACAGGGTAATGACAAGAGGATAGTTTAAAGGAAAAGTTGTTAAGAGTGTGATAGCATCAACACACTTACACAAACAACACAAGCACAAAACAAGAAAAAGTGGAGAACCAAAGGCAGTGCAGTTGACAAGACCTAATTCTGGTGGGCATTTGAGCACACTCAGCCAAATCAGCCACGACAACTTAAATTGATTAAATAAAATGCATTTGAGTCAGTTTGGGAGGATTCACACTGAGACAAGGTCATCTCATTGGCTAGAAAGACGAGAACAAACATCCCAAGATGAGGAAAATGGGAATTAGAAATAGATATTAAGGTTGGGCTGTGCATCTCTGCTCAGACTCCCAAAGGCCATACATTTACAAGGTTTTACCCTGATCCAACATGCAATGTATTGAAAGGTACATACATATCCCTAACCAATCCACCATGCCTGGATAGAAGCTTCAGGTCTCATGGTCATCTATAGCCTGTTCTGGAGAACTCTGGTGTGAATATATTCCTAAAGATCTCAGGTTAGAAAAGTTAATTCCCATTGTGACAGTGATGAGAAGTGGGCCTTGAGTTGTGATTGGTCATTAGGGCTCCTCCTTTATAAATGTTACCACTGTCAACATGGCAACTAGCTAGTACCCATCCCCAATTCCCTGGATGAATATGTGTCCTCTTGCCCTCATACCTTTCTCCCTGGCATATTAGAGCACAAAAGCCCTATCATATGTAGGACCTTTGAACTTGAACTTCCCAGACTACTAAATTGTAATGTCTTTGTTAATTATAAATTTGTAAAGATTCTTGGATATTTTACTCGAGAAGCACAAAACATTATATCCAGCCATTGACCCATTACAACAGGTACATGCCCTAATGTTGGGACATGCCATTTTCACTCCCCTCCTCACTACAGCATTTCTGACCAGTGACTGAAAGGCTGTCACCTGAGTTTTCTAAACGGCAGTGTGTTCTCTACCCAAATAGCAGCTTGTTCCACTAGTAAACTACTTCAGCAATGGAGAGGTGACACTTTTGTTCATGCTCCACCAAAACCAGCCTCCCCAGAAATACTTCTACCCAGTGGTCCTAATTATATGCCTCTAAAGCAACTTAAATGAAATAGAGAGGGAAAAAGAGAGGCAAGAGAGAGGTGAAATGGCCTGAAATTAGTTAATATCGTTACTGCGTTTCAACCCTTTAGACTAAAAGTTACCTATCTACAGCTCTGTATCTCTAATGAAACAAAGTAACTGACAATGGAATTAAAAATTAATAAAAAGCCTAACATATGTTCCTAGAGGTTATATATGGAGGAGGGGAAAATAGTATCCTTGAGAAAAATCTTATGTTTTTATTCACCTCCCACTTACCTACTTGATCTGGCACTGACCTTGGCCATACAGCTCCAGGCAATCCTGCAGAGAGAGGGCCGCAGGAAAGTGGAGGAGAAGAGTGGGCTCTTAGGTAAATGTGTCATTTCAATTCATAGCACCCAACATGGAGCTTGCCTCACACTTCTGGGTGCATGTTCTATGGAGAACAAATTATATTTCAGGCCATTTCTACTAAATTTGACACAAGATTTACATGGCCTACTAGAACTGTATATGAGCAAATGATAGTGCTGTTTGAAAACTAACAAGTCCAACACTCCCAAGTGTACCTGTTCGGGGATTCCGAGTCTTTGCATGGGTGCCTCCCTGACCTGCTCAACTCTAAAAGTAAAGCATAAAGGTAAAGTCAGTCCCTGGCAGCCTATCTCTGGAGAGTTTCTAGCGCCCTCCTATCCCTTAGGGACCCACCATCCACACCTGCTCACAGGGTGGGGGCTGCAGAACTTCTTCTAATTAAGGTAGCATGAAGCACACCAGACAGGCCCCAAGGGTATTTTTCAAGAAGTGAAACCTCCCAGTAAGGCAGAAACTTTTTTGTATGTCCTTTCTATCAAAGCAAAGTGATTGGATCAAATCTCAAGGTAGCAGAAGCTGCCAATTTCCTGTCACCTGGTGTCAATCAGAGGTACTAGCCCCAGGCCTGGTCTATCTCACTCATCTTCAAAACTTGAGATAGGAGAAGTAGCCAGCTGATCCCAGCAGTGTCAAGGCTTGAACCCTTGGAGACCCAGGTAAGGAAACAGTTTTCTCTGTTTAAATGACTTTTTAAAAAATGGCTGGACAAGGAAAGGAGTTGTTTTAGAGACAAGAGTCTTTTGGACTGGGGTGGCCCTGTTGAGATTTTCAAATGACAGCATGATTAAAGCAGTAATGCTTTCAAGGATGGATGTGCCAGCCTCCTCCTAGGGCAATGGGTGGTGAGGAGATGCCAGCATGGAGATAAAGTCTTTAGCATTTTGGGCACAACCTGGAGCTCTACTACATAGAAACCAAATAACCCTGGGTGATTAATAAACCTTTCCAAGCTTCAATTTTCATATCCATAAAATAGGAGCAATAGCAAGACCCTCTGCATCATGAAGATTAAGCCTAAAATACAAAAACTTTTAGGACTGCCCAAGACCAAATTAGAAAGTAATCCTGGCCATAAGAATATAACTCCATTCCTCCTGTTTCAGCTGATTTTTGTCTCCAAAGTTCAACTTCAATGTAAACATACATAGATGGTGTAGTGTGTGTGTTCTACATGGCATTGGCACACTGAGCACATCTAAGTAGCCAAGAGTGAAAGTGGGCACTGGAGATAGGCTAGAGGGATTGATTTTAACCAGGTCCCAATGTGTTCCTGAAACTAAACCGTAAAGTGGGGGAGGGGAGGAAGAGAAAGGGGGAAAAGGGAGAGACCGTCCCTGTTTCCCTTATAATGGTTTGGTATCACTGATGGTCAGGTGAAGGGAGGTCACTGTCTTGTGAATAGATAGCATCCAGAGCATTTATCTGTAAACCTGCCAGGGGAGGAAGCTGAGTTTGATGCTCTGTTTAACATTTAGTGAGCTCCCAACATCACAGGAGGCAGGTTCCCTGTATAATCCTGCACAGCTCTGTTAGGGGACTGACACTGTGTTTCAGGAGCTATATGCCATACTAAATGAAAGTGGCTGGTGGAAAAGTAATAAACATGAACAGCTGTGAACACAGAAGAAGTTCTTACCATCATAGGGCAAGGAATGGCCTGAGGTAACACGAACATCCTTTTGCGGAAGTTGACAGAACCAGGAGAGAGCAGGGAAAGGACTAGCTCAAATTTTTTTTGGATTCAACAAAGGAGGCGGGAGACATGTCTGGCCTTGCCTGCTGAGGACATGGGTTGTGAAAGCCATCCAGGGTTGGGCTGTAATGAAGAGTCAGAAATGTGTCTCGATAAAGCAAAGAAAGTGAGTTGGAGATAGTGAGATAGATTGGGGAGAGCTGAGGCCCGAGAAGAACACAACTTAGCAGTAGTGATTTGGGGGATGTGTCTCAGTTGCTTTGGGGGAGGGGGGTATATTAGAAAAATTATTGGAGGAAAACAATAGCCACAATATTTCTAACATTTTATAGTATGTGTGTGCTTGCATGTATGTGGAAGTCAAAGGACAACCTCAGGAGTTAATTCTCTCCTCCTACCCTGGGGGGGGGGGTGGAATCTGAGTCATCAGCCCTGCCAATGAGCCAGATAACTAGCCTGATTCATTAAGACTGTTTTAAAGGAAATAAGAATAAATCTGCAGATGATACTAGATGTAGAGAAAAGTTCCGTGTGTAAGAGGCATTGCAGTTGTAGAAATGGTGTGATTTTGCTATTGCCTGAATGTGTGAGGGAGCTGAAGGGACAAGGGTAAAATCTGCCTCCAAGCCTGAGTGTGTCTGTGCACATCCATGCACACACATTAGATGTTAACATTAGATGCCTTCTTCAGTCACAAGACAAGGCCCTTCACCCAATCTGAAATTTAAAATTTGTCTGGACTGACTAACCAGGGATCTGCCTGTCTACACACCCCAGCACTGGAGTTACAAGTGCATGCTACCACAGCTGGACTTATGTAGCTGCTGAAATCCATACTTGGGTCTTCATACTTGGATCATGTGCCCTGAGCCATCTCACCAACCTTCCAAGTCTGAGCAATTAGCAAAATAAAGTGGTCCAAGGCATCGTGCCCAGAAAAGGCCACAGACTTTGGCACAACCTTTGTACAGAGAAGTTTCAGTTGAATGGCAGAAACTAGTTTAAAAAAAAAATGTGTGAGGAGGAAGCTGGGGAAAAGAATAGAAGGCAACGTTTGAAGAAGCTAAAGTGAAGAAAGGGGAAACTAAGTAGTAGTTGGGGATCTTGTAAGATTTTCAAATGAAAGGTTAGGGACTGGGGAACAAGGTAGCACATTTTTGTTTGAATAAGGGTAGAAAATAATATTTCTTTAGTGTTTATTACCGTATCAACCACCGCACATCTTCAATTATCCTAATTTTACACAGATCACAAATGTGCATAATGCCACACAAAAAGTGAGAGTAGGTCCCAGGAAGAAGTGATTTCTGGAAAGAGCAAGCATCTGGTGGAAGGAAATGGACTGAAAGAGTTGTGAAAGAAAAATTTAAGAAGATTCACCTATAGTCATAAGCACATGGAGGGGGGATAAATGCAAAGCTATTTTGAGTGGCAAAGGAGGAAGTTGAGGTTGGGGGGCTTCAAGTGTACCAGTAGACATGATGGAGTTACTAGACCTAAAAGTCGTTATTCAAACCAAAACCATAGAAGAAGCTGTGGCATCTTCAGGGGAATGGTCAAGGAAATGGCGGTGCCTCTAGCAGTCAAAAAGGTTTGTGGAAGTTGCAATAAGATAGGTGAACAAATTAAGTCATGATTTCAGTACCAGTGTTTCTCGTATTAGTGAAAATAAAACCCCACATCGTCACATTTTGACCAATGTGGTCAGTAACCCTGCTTATACACCAGATAATCATCGCTGTGAGCTGGAGTCCACTGAAGCTATTTTGTATAATTTTTAAGAAGGCAAAGCTGGAGAAATCTACATTTGTGGGAGGATATGGATCAGCTCTAGTTACATGTGTTTCCATTGAATGTGATTTTATTGAACAATCTACAGTGCCTCCATGTATATGAGAAAAGGAGGGATGAGCGAGAGATAATTAGCATAAAATGACACGTTAAGGTCATATTTTGTTTATAAAGTGTTAATTTGTAGTAATATTATTTATTCAACATTTTATAGAAATATAGTTATTAGAAAGATACTATTCTAACAGAAAAACAAAATGTTGTTCTCTCCATATTATTACTGCCAATAACCCATACAGATAGCTCCACAAGACTTTGCCTAAATAAAAGGTTTATCTTAGCAACAACACAGACTCAAGACTTAATGAGCCTCTGGTAACTACAGAGGAATTATAGTAGTGATAGTGCAATCATTTCCATCACCCTGAATAATTAATGATTTTGCACTTTAAGTCACCATCACTAAAATTAGTTCCCTAGAATGGAGTTAAGGGAATTCTAGCTTATTTCATAGTTGCCAAATGGTCTTGGGAACATTAACTTATGGGGACCTCTATACATCTGCAATGCCTACTGAAAAAGAGAGGTATGAGGAAAAACTGCAAATAGCACAGCTAGTATCCCTGGGGAAACATTATATACTCATTTAAACAACCACAGTCATGCAGTATAACATGGAAGTCTACAGAATGAGCATTGGTGTCAGTGTCTTCAAGTTTGGCTCCCTTACCAAGTATAAGATCTTTGCAAAATCACACTCCATGTCCAGGGGCAGGATCCTTATTTGTGACATGAGCAAACTGGTTTCTGAGATTTTTCTAGTTCTAGACCAGAAATCAATAGAAAATTCCTCCGTGGGCTATGTAAATAATTTGTATTTTGGTTGGTGGTCTCATGGAATGGTTTGTGGCATGAAGCAGATTCCTCTAGATCAAGTGACATCTGGTAACTTAGAACAGAAGGGAAATCAAGGGAGAAACTCTTCTCTAAAGCCCACACTGCAGACAGCTCATGCTCTGTATTGCTTTAAGTCATGCAGAGTGTGCATATTTTGAAGGAAAAGGAAGAGAAGCCAAACTGTTCCCCACAGGAGTCAAAGCAGTGAGTCATGGACACTGCAGTTGACAAGATGGAGGCTTCCTTTCAGAACATTGGTAATTATATAACTTTAATGAGTTGCCTAACTTGTCTGTCCTTGTCCTCCCCTCTACTGGGCTCAGAAGAGATGTCCCAGATGAAATTCTCCTGTAATTACAAAATCAGCAGACATGTAAACGATTCAGCTGCTCAGCTCTCCATGACTTTAGTGTAAGACTCAGCAGCCCGGGTAAACAGTCTTTATTCCCAAGGCCTGTTACATAGCTTATAATCAATAAGGTGTGGCCCTAGAGAAGGCTATCCAGGGCACAGGAAAACATTGAGGAAATTCATATATGGGGTTGATATAACCACTAGATGAATACTCCCAACAAATGGAACATGAAGAAAGCTAAACAGTCTTAACCTATCAGAGCTGGAAAGAATGTGACTCATCATCTCATCACCTCAGAAACAACTTGTGAGCACTAACAGATGATACTTGCTACCCTCTTCCCCTAGGTACCTATGTCTACTTGTTTCTTAGGATAAATCTATGAGAAGGTCACTGTTCTCACTTTTGATAAAGTAAAAACTACAGCTGAGAAATATGTAACAAGAATTGCAAGAAAGCAGTTAATATTTATCTAGATGTAAGTGCTTTGCATAAATCCAGCATTCCTTTGATACTTATTAAGAAGCTTACCATGTAAGCATTATTTTATATACTTTTCAAGAGGCAACAACATCCTCTGTTTCTGTAGAGAGAGGACTGCAATAAAAAAAGTAACTTACCATACTAATAACTAAAATGAGGTGAACAGAACAGGATGTGTTGGGGCAGAGAGCATGCATGATAGGTTGAGGGTTCAGAGGAGGCCTCTGGGGATAGCTGATGTTTAAGCTATACCTAGGTGATAAAAGTCACACAAATATGGTCCATCATCATCTATCTCTTACAACAAGCTGTAAGACAAGAATCATTTCTACTTCCAGTCTAGAGTTGAAGAACCAGAGGCCCAGAGATCTTGTCCAACAGCTCAGTAATTAGAATCGCTGTTTAAAAGCAGACAGTCTGACTCAGAGAACATGATCTTACCTGTGATAACACAGAGCATTCTTGATGTGACCTGCTCAAAGTCAGGGTCAGAGTAAGAGAGAGGCCTAGAATCATCCTCTCCTGACTTTAAGACAGTACCTACCATAATCAGGCATGACACTTCTGGTCTACCACAAGGTTCAGAGATAAATAGATGAACAAGCCAATAAAAATATACTTTGCAGTATTAAATCATAAGAACACTACCCAAGGAGGGACCAGCTAGACAAACGCATAGATCAAGGAAGAAACTCAAGGTCCAAGCCCCAGCATAGACAAAAATCCATATGGTCAATAAATTCATTGTGATTCATTGTGTGCTCTGGGGTATAGCTGGTTGGTAACTGACTGCATAGTGTTTTCTTGAACATTAATGTGTGTCCAGATATGATTAGCAGGCATTTTAGCTCAGATTCCTAGGCCCTTGCCTGGTCTCCTTGCCTGAGATAGCCCCTCCAGATTCTCTCCTAGAACATAGTAGTAGACCTTGTCTCACATCTAAAGCTACTAGGAAGATGGCATGTTTCAGTGGTACCATCAAGGAAAGTACAAGATGATGGCAGAAGGTAAGATTGCCAAAGACTTTGTCATTGATCTCACCTTACTGTTTTATTTTCAGGAGTTTGAGAACACAATGACAACACCCAGAAACTCAGTGAGTGGAACTTTCCCAGTAGAGTCTACCAGAGGCCCTCTTGCCATGCAACCTTCTCAAAAAGTAAACCTCAGGAGGACATCTTCGCTGGTGGGCCCAACACAAAGCTTTTTCATGAGGGAATCGAAGGCTTTGGGGGTAAGGCGGTTCTCCATTCCACACCCTAGAGATGTTTTGGCCTACAAATGCTGATCTTCTGACTATACATGGAATTCAGTCTACCTTGCATAGGCAGATCTTTATGCCTCACACAGTGGGCTAGGCAAGAGGGTTCAAAAAAGATACTCCTAGATTATTGTAGGGTGACCTTATATCATCCCTTGGCTTGGAAGTGAAGGATCTTCCATTCTGGTCCATTGTTCAAATTCCAGACACATCTGTTCCTTGGAAATGCCTTATGTGGTGGGAGAGATAGACCTGCATGAGGAGGCAAAATTCTTTGGCAATGCCACCAATCCATTTAGTATCTTTGCATGGTCTCAGGCTTCCCACCTTGCCTTTGGCCTCCACCAGTGATGGGCTGAGTTCACCACCAGTGCTTTTCTTCTCTCCCCAGGCTGTCCAGATCATGAATGGCCTCTTCCATATTTCCCTGGGAGGACTTCTGATGATCCCCGCAGGAGTCTTTGCACCCATCAGTATGAGTGTATGGTACCCTCTCTGGGGAGGCATTATGGTAAGTTGGAATAAATAGCAACCATTTGTGAGATGTAAAGGAGAAAAATATGGTCCAAAATGTCCTAGATTGTTTCTGTGTTGATGAAAGTAAGATGGACAGGAAAAAAGGTTCCTGGGTTGACATAGCTAAGTGGGAAAAAGGATAGACTACATCGTGTGGCTCCTGTGATTGAACATGACCATGCTTCACATGGATTCACAGAAAATAACTCTGCTGGCTGTTTTCAGGGCTGGAAGACTGTACAAAGCAGACTGTCTCCACAGCTAACTCCAGCAGGGTGTGAGACACCAGATATTTGGTGTTTGGGAAGGAAGTGAGGAATGGAAACATCCTAACTCCCTACAATTTTGTTAGTTACCATGGCACCTGATGAAATTATTCCCATCCAAAAATAACCCCTCTGTACTTCTGGATGCAGCAACACTGTTTTGGCTATTTAATGTACATGTTTCCCAGACTTACAGTTCTGTGTGTGCCATGAGGCTAGGTAGTGTTCATTTTGCCAGGACAATTTTCATGACTGTGTCCTCTAAGGGTGAGTCCAGAATCTAAGCTTTCAGAACTGAGATCAATTGGTTGTAAGACTTATCTGCACTTTAAAGTTTGAACCTCAGGAAAGGAAGTAGAGAAATAATCACTGTTACATGACTTTGGTGAGGTGTATGTATTCAAGAGAAGTGCTGCCTTATATGCTCTCTTTCAGAGGCATCAAAGCTATTGAGTCACTATGACCCCAAAAGAACATTTTCATTAATTACAATTAGAAAGAGGAGCTGGAGAGATGGCTCAGGGATAAGAACACTGGCTGCTCTTCCAGTGGACCCAAGTTCCATTCACCGCACCCACACACATAAAATAAATAGTTTATTTAAAAAAAAAAAAGGAGAAAGAATAAGTGTTTTAACTCACACTGACACTGTATCCTACCTATCCCTCCCAGACACCAGCCCTAATTGTGTTTTTAAAACTAATGACTATGTCTAATTGCAGCCTGTTAAAAAAAAAAGGATAAATCATGTTATTGAGGGTAATTTCTTTCACTTCTGTTTGATGGTATGGGTCTCTAGGGTTCTCACTGATGAGGAAGTATGATTTCTGTCTCTTTTCATAAGAAGTTGAACACTACAGACTGAGTATGTGAACCTGAATAACAAAGAAATATAGCTACCAAGAAATACTTCAATTGGATAAAATTTAATGAATAGATTAATGAAAGACACTAAAACTGTAGGTGATTCCTCCCCAAGCAATCATCAGTGAAAAACAGTGACCTTTTTCTGCCCCCTTCCTGCCCCTTTCCCTCTTCCCCCTCCCCATTCCCAACTACCCCTCTCTTTGCAGTATATTATTTCAGGATCACTCCTGGCAGCAGCAGCAGAGAAAACCTCCAGAAAGAGTTTGGTAAGTAACCTGTATCTTTTCCCACACATCAGACACAATAACTACTTTCTCAGTTGAAATCAAGTCCTGGGGACCCTTAAAGAGCTTAGCAATCACAGATTCTCTATGAGCAAAGGATCCTGTATCAGTCCTGGGTGTAACATAATTTTCTTCATGAGAAACAAAAAAGAAAAAAGGCATCTGCCTTAAATCTGTGCATAACAAGAGAATCAAAGACAGAATTCAGAAGACAGCAATCTTTCAATGCTAAGTTCCCTGTGGAGATAACAGAACTGACATATTTTGAAAGAATGCCATTTTTCCCTTGCACTATTTAGGAAATTTTTCTGGTCCATATGCTTGAGTCAGGTTCTAGAGAAGTCAGAACCCTGAGTGAGTGAGTACAGGGCTGCCCCTCAGTTTTCACCCCATGAATGGAAGTGCTAGTCCTGACACAGGAAATCAAGATAAAAATTAAATGGGGCATTTTGTGTGATAGTATAGTGAAATCTTTAAGGCCTACAAAGTGATCTTATCTTTAAGGATTCATTTACAGCCTCTTTAATTAAAAAAAAAAAAGCTAAACTGGGAGTTGGTGGTGCACACCTTTAATCCCAGCACTCAGGAGGCAGAGGCAGGTGGATTTCTGTGAGTTCAAGGCCAGCCTGGTCTACAGAGCTAGTTCTAGGACAGACTCCAAAGCAATACAGAGAAATCCTGTCAAAAAATAGAAAGGGGGGAGGAAGGAAGGAAGGAAGGAAGGAAGGAAGGAAGGAAGGAAGGAAGGAAGGAAGGAAGGAAGAGGAAGAGGAAGGGAAGGGAAGGGAAGGGAAGGGAAGGGAAGGGAAGGAAAGGGAAGGAAAGGAAAGGAAAGGAAAGGAAAGGAAAGGAAAGGAAAGGAAAGGAAAGGAAAGGAAAGGAAAGGAAAGGAAAGGAATGGAAAGGAAGACAAGGTAACATACAGAACTCCAAATTTTTCTCCAGGAAATCCTCTACCAATGCTTTCACTTACTGACTTAAGTCACTGTGAGTTGGTAAGGATCTGAGTGGATTAAGAACGTTCCTCTCTGTAAGTTGTCTGAGAAATTCAATTTAGGGGAAGAGACAAATTGTTTACAAATAGCAAGTGCAACCAAATCTACTGAATTGCCATTAATAGGCTATATAGCCCGGAGTAAAATATATGCTTCATAAAATCACCATCAATAACGCCACAGCATCGTGGTACTTGGCACATGATATGTCAAACTTTTAGCACCAGTGCAGGACAGAGCAGTCACAGCCATATCCTCTAGACCCTATATCAAGAGACATCTGAGCTAATGGTCCTGGGGGAAGACAGCTGACTGGGAGTACATTGTCAGTGGGAGTGGTAGCGTTATTATAGCTGATGCATTTTTAATTGGATGGTAGGAACCTAGAAGGAACTATCTATATCTACATCAATGATCTTTAGACACCATACAAAATCCATCTTATCTCTCTGCCCTCTGCCTTATTGTGCAAAGCAATAATAATCTGGATGCTCACTAAGTCTTTGAAGCATGTCTGGGAGGGGGGTGACAATGAAAACTGTTCAGAGGTACAATGTGTGGGTGAGAGACCACTGGCATTTTGGTTTCATAAATTTACTAGATGGTGACTGCATCTGATGGGAAGACAGGAAAAGAAGGGATACAGAGGCTACAAGTTGTACTTGACAGTGACAAAGAGGCTAAAAGCCACAGTGAGAACAGAACTAGAATTCTGGTGTGGTGTCTCTCTGAGTCAGGGAGATAGCAGCTGGAATCCCACTTTTTGTTTTCTGAAGAGAAATCAAATCTAGCTAACAAGCCTGCCTCTGTTTCAGGTCAAAGCCAAAGTGATAATGAGCTCTCTGAGCCTCTTCACTGCCATTTCTGGAATAATTCTTTCAATCATGGACATACTGAACATTACAGTTTCTCACTTTCTAAAAATGGAACGTCAGATCCTTAGTAAAACTCCCAGCCTGTATGTTGATATCTATAACTGTGAGCCATCTAATTCCTCAGTGAAAAACTCTCCATCTACACAATACTGTTACAGCATGCAGGCTGTGTTCTTGGTAAGTATGAAAGTGGTGTCCCTCCAGAGATAAAGAAACGTGCTATGTTTTATTATGAACATCAACTCTGGGTTCAGGTAGTCTGTGTCTGCTATTTCTTTCTGCATGTGGCTTTGGGCAAGAGCCCTCCTCATATACTGCTTTCATTTTCTCAACTGTGTATCTCCTTAGATTGATTTAAGGATAAATTAGTTAACATAAGCAAGGCACTTGGAATTGTTTGTATGGAAGATATGCTTGTGACTTTATTATTTCTTCTGAGAAATGGTCTTGCTGTGTAGCCCTGGCTGGTCTGCTACTGACTATTTACCCCAGACTACCTTCAAATTCACAACAATCCTGCTTCTACCTCCTGACTGCTGGGACTACTGGTATTGTGCCACCACACCAAGTTTTATGTGTTCATCATTTATCTTCATTAATATCATTGATGACATTAATAATTATTAATAAAAATATGGAAGAAATTCATGAACTGTTATTAACATGCTTTCCCCCACAAAAATTTTTAATGCAGAGTTTAAAAGGGAAAGGCAATACATCTCCCAAGTTTTGTGGAGTTTCCTTAGTATGATCTCACATCCTCCAAAGCTGATAGAATTTCTTTTGAGACAGGGTCTCATGTAATCCAGGCTGGACTTGAGAGTCAAGAATGACTCTGAACTTCTGATCTTCTTGCCTCCACCTCCCCTAGTGCTGGGATTACAGGCATATGCTACCATACCTAGTTTACATAGTGCGCTAGAATCCAGGACCTCAAATATGCTGGGCAAGTTTCTTACCAATGAGCTACCATAACAAAACAAGCTGACAGAATTTAATGTGGGGCTCTTTGTCACAGAACTGATTCTTAAGTTCCCTGTTCCCACCTTACTCTCTTCTGTTCAGCCACTGGGTTGTAAAGATGCTGCCTTTTATAGCAGCCATTCCCCCAGCTCTTCAGTTTACTCACCTAAAGAACTGAGCTGAATTGTTACTCACTGAGTTCGAGTTATTAGTTCACTGTGTGCTAAGTACATCCAGCTGCCATTACCTCATCATTACCTCCCTTGTGTTCATTTCCAGGGCATTTTGTCAGTGATGCTGATCTTTGCCTTCTTCCAGAAACTTGTGACAGCTGGCGTTGTGGAAAATGACTGGAAAAGAATGTGCTCCAGACCCAAATCTGTAAGTTGGAGTTACTTGTCCATTAACATCCTTCTAAAAAAAAAAAAAAGTAGTATCTACAAAAAATTGTTCACATAGACTCTAAGCTGACAAAATTTTGAAACTAGGAGCTTCATTTGAAATAAATGATATTGCTATATTTTTGGAAAACAGAAAGCACCAGTAGTGGCAGCAAATGTTTTAAAGTGTAAATGAGTCTATGGTTAAACAGAAGCTACAGTTCCACATGTGTACAAGTGTGCCTGCCAACTAGCTTTTCTTTCTATTTGGCTCTAGACTCTCGGTCCTACCCCGTCTTAGTTATTGTTCCATGGCAGTGATAAGACAGCATGGCCAGGGAAACTTATAAAAGAAAGCCTTTATTTGATGCTGACAATTCCTGAAGATTAGTTATAGTCCATGACTATCATGGGAAGGAGTGTGGCAGCAGTTTGCATCTGATCCACAAGCATAAGGCAGAGAGAGCTAACTGGAATGGTACCGGATTTGGAATCTCAAAGCCCAACACCAGAGACACATCTCCTCCCACAAGGCCACATTCTCTAATCATTCCCACAATTCTACCAACTGAAGAAGAAGTAGTCAAAGGTTTGAGCCATTGGGCGCCATTCTTACTCATTCCTTGATTACATGCCCCCTCCCATCTTAATCTGTAACATAGGATGGTTGAAGGCTGATAAAATCATTGGATCTTGGATTTTTAGTGTTCCGCTCACCTCCCACTCTCTCATCTCATTCCACTTCCAAAGTAATAGAGTCTCCAAAGCTAGGAAATATAAATGTTCCAATAGTAGTTCCCTGATAAACTACTTTGGAACTACAGACTATAAGATTTAGCTTAGAAGCTATTACTGATTCCTTCATTATATAGATAGGGAGAGGGTAGAATGAGAGTCTCTTTCCAAGGTTATGATCACTAAAGGCAAATCAGTCCTAGAATCCAAACTCCTTTACTTTTTGGTATTATTTTTCTATGTGGTATGATTATTCCAGGCAAAATGGCAAATGTCTGAAGCCCTTAATGATTAACTCAGACTTGAGATTTACTAAGTAGGTGATTTGATGGGAATTAGCACATCAAAGTAACCAATCCTGGTATCTATAATATATGATTAATTAAATAAAGAACATAAAGAACATGAGACAAAGTTGGTATCTGGATAAATGTCAATTGTTGGGAGACATGTCAGGGGTAAAGGTAAAGAGGAATTTGTTTATGTTCTAGAATGTGGTTCTACTGTCAGCTGGAGAAAAAAAAGAAAAGATGACTAAAATGAAAGAAGAAATCGTTGAGCTAAGTGGAGTATCTTCCCAACCAAAGAACGAAGAAGAAATTGAAATTATTCCAGTGCAAGAAGAAGAAGAAGAAACAGAAATTAACTTTCCAGAACCTCCCCAGGAACAAGAATCCTTGCCAGTGGAAAATGAGATCTCTCCTTAAACTCTTCTCTTTTATGAGCAGTGTTGTTTAGAGAGCTCCCGGAACACATAGTTACCCCCATTTCTTGGTCTTCCATAACTACTCTCCACATTTCCACAGCTTATCTTTGCATAGAGAAGCCACATCTAGTTCTCCTTCACATTTGGAGAATGTAGCAATTGTAGCAGATTAAATTGTTCCTTGCTTTGGAGTCTTACATCAGCAGAAACACTGCAGGATACAATTCTCATTCACCTTTTTCTTGGACAGGCATTTTAGTAGAGATAGTACTTTTTTCCCATGTTTTCCATCAGCAACTGTAGCTGTGGGAAAAGACAAAAGACTGTTCATCCATCTTTGAATTCTTTGACTACTTCCTGGTCTACATTTATAGGGGAGTCCTTTTTGTGCTTTTGTTTTAAGGAAAGTAGAAATAATAACAAAAGGGAACAAGACACCCATTTTTCCAGGGGAGCAGTCACTGTGGCTTGTTCAAGTTTCTGTATCCCAATTAGAAAGCTGTGAAAGGCAATGACTAACCATGTCTCTGTATAAACAACATAGTTTATACATAAGCAAGTCTCTGTGTCTTAACTTTGTCCAACTCCTGTTCTTTACCTCCTTGTATTCTTTAGTCAAGAGAAGAAAGAATGATGGGATGAAATGGGTACCCAAATTTCAAACTATATGCAACACCTATGCTTACAGGATACTTTCCAAGGGGCAGGATAGTTTATGAAATAGTTTCATTTGATCTTCCATGACCATGAAAGGATCCCTATAACTATTTTGCAATAAAATTGAAAGTAGGAAGCAAGCCAAAGTATACTGTAATGATCATGCATAGTAGTTGTGGGCTCTTGACTCAGACCCAGTTCTTCAACTCCTGGTGATGTTTGAAATGAGCCAATTATCTATACCCAATGTCTGCATAAACTGGATCAAGAGCCTACTCTGACTATGAGCAATGTGTTGAGTCACAGAAAAATCAGAATTGGACTTGACACCACCATGTGAATGAAAACAACTAGAAACTTACAACCTTCAAAAAACTAGTCGATGTATAAATATGCAGTTAGCTGGTAAGTTGTAAGATGCAGATAGTAATCACTATAAATGACTTCAGAAAGATAAGTCTTAAAAACAATATAGTTAAGATGCCAAAGCTCAGGCCACCCTACTTTTCCATCCCTTGCTCATGTGCAGAGAGGCTAGCACCTGACTTGAAACACTGTTAGCCTAAGAAGATTTCACCATAACCTATCAATCAGATACCATGATCAGCCTGCCTCAAGGCATGTTGGGTATATGAACAACTTAAGTAATACTCCTTGGGATAGTTCAGTTTTATTAGAGGTTACTGGTGGGAAGTATTTCCTGTAATTACAAAGAAAATGGAAGTAGAAATTTTCCCCTCATGAAGTCTTCAAAACAAACTCTAAATGAATAAAACTGTGTGTTCATGACTGAAATATCTAACTCCACCTTGGGTGTTGCCTTATTCTTCATAACATCAAACAACAGGATGCTCCTGCAGCCTCAGTTCATATTTCTATAACACCAATCTGCTTGCACTGAGACACATCAGGCATATTGAGCTATTCCTACATACCTTACACATGCTCCCAAGGAAATTGTTCATCCAGTAGGTCATTACTAATTACTTATCACTCTTACAAGCCACAGCATGGTCCTCCACATCCAACACATGGAAGGTGCCCCTGCCTAAATTAAATACTATCGCAAAAAATGGCTGGAGTAAGGTAAGAGAGTGAGTAACAAGCTGAAAAATCTTTAAATGCAGTATTTTTCTCAATTTTTCCCTCTAAAACTCATCATTTCCTTAAGGATTTTACTTTATTGATTGTTAGGGTCTCAGATAATTGGTTTTTACCAAAATCTCATTTCTCTTTGTGGCATAACTCCAAAATGTTAGTGCCTTAACTTCAAAATGTTAGTTCCTGACTGAACATAATAAAAATATATTCAGAAATAATGAAGGATAATGAGTTGGTGAGTTGGACTTCAAGAAAACTCAATGAGAAAGGAGTAATTATTTCAACAAATGCTCATAGGATGCATGATAGCTACACACAAAAAAATAATATAATTAAACTGAAAGTTTACCTTACACAGTATAAAAAAACTAATTCAAAATGGATCAGAAGTATAAATGTAAGAGCATACATTAAAAAAATGACAGCTTGTGCTGAAGAGGATGTGGAGAAAGAGGAACACTCCTCCACTGCTGGTGGGAGTGCAAACTTGTACAGCCATTTTGGAGATCAATATGGTGGTTCCTCAGGAAAATGGGAACCAACCTACCACAGGACCCAGCAATCCCACTCTTAGGCATATACCCAAATGATCCACATCCATGGAACAAATACATCTGTCCAACTATGTTCATAGCAGCATTATTTATAATAGCTAGAACCTAGAAGCAACCTAGATGCCCCTCAACTGAAGAATGGATAAAGAAGATGTGGCACATTTACACAATAGAATACTACTCAGCAGCAAATAAAAAACAATGGAATCTTGAAATTTGCAGACAAATGGATGGAACTTGAAGAAACCATCCTGAGTGAGGTAACCTAGTCATGAAAAGAAGAACATGGTATGCACTCACTCATATATGGAGTTTCATCATAGAACAAAGGATCACCAACCCATAATTCACACCACCAGAGAAACTAGGATACAAGGAGGACCCTAAGAGATTCATACAAGGTCCCTCACAGAAGGGGAAAGGAACAAGATCTCCTGAGCATATTGGGAGGGAGGGCAGTGAGTGGAGAGGGAGTTAAAGAGAAAGAGAAGGGGAGAAGAGGAGAACATGTGAGACTAGGAAGATTGAGTCAGGGGATGAATAGAGAAGAGAAAAGATAGATAGATAGATAGATAGATAGATAGATAGATAGATAGATAGATAGACCATGATAGAGGGAATCATTATTGGTTTGAAGAGAAATCTGGCACAAGGGAAATGTCCAGAAACCTACAAGGATGACCCCAACTAACAATCTGAGCAATAGTGGAGTGGCTACATTAAATATCCTTCCCTGATAATGAGATTGATAACTAACTTATGTGCCCTCATCTAGTAGCTAATGGAAACAGAAGCAGACACCCACAGCTAAACACTGAGCCGAACTCCTGGAAATCAGTTGCAGAGAGGGAGGAGTGACAAGAAAATGGGGTCAAGACCAGGCTACAGAAACCCATAGCTGGGAAACCAGCATTGGACCGACTCAGACCCCCTGAACATGGGTCTCAGTTAGAAAGCCTGGGCAGTTTAAGGAACCTCTGACAGTGGAACCAGGATGTATCCCTGGTGCAGGAATGGACTTTGGGAGCACATTCCCCATGGAGGGATGCTCCCTTAGCCTAGAGGCAGGAGGGAGGGCCTAGTCCCTACTCCAAATGACTTGACAGATTTTGATGATCCCTCCTGGAAGTCATTACCCTCCCTGTGGGGAGGGGTGGGATGGGTTAGGAGGGGGGTCAGGGGGGCATTGGAGAAAGGGAAGAAGAAGAAAAATTTTCAAAAGATTATAATAAAAACTAAAAAAAAAAAAAAGAATCTAAGCAATAGTGGAGAGGCTACCTTAAACGTTCTTCCCCTATAATGAGATTGATGACAACCTTAAATTCCATCATACAGCCTTCACCCAGTAGCTGGTGAAAACAGAAGCAGACACCCACAGCCAAGCTCTGAGCTGAACTCCTAGAATCCACTTGTAGAGAGGGAGGAGTGATGAGCAAAGGGGTCAAGACTATGCTGGGAAAACCCACAGAAACAGCTGGCCTGAGCCAAGTGGGAGCTCATGGGCCCCAGTCTGACAGCTGGAGAACCAGCATATGAACAAAACAGGCCCCTGAACATGAATGTCAGTTGGGGACTTGGGCAGTCTATCGGGCCTCTGGCAATGGAACCAGTATTTACCTCTAGTGCACTAACGGGAGCCCACTCTCTATGGAGGGATACTCTCTCAGAGTAGATACATGGGGGAGGGCCTAGGTCCTGCCCCAAATGATGTGACAGACTTTGATGATCCCCCTTGGGAGGCCTCACCCTCCCTGAGGAGTAGATGGTGGGTAGGATGGGGTTTGAGGAGGGGAATGGGAGGACAGGAGGAAGAGGGAACTGAAATTGGTATATAAAATAAGATTGCTTCTAATTTAAATAAAAATTTATTTTTTAAAAAAATATTTTTTTAAAAAAGGGAGCAAGAAGCCATTTACATGTTGTTGATTCCATTTACATGACATGCCCAAAATGGTTTCCTGAGACTGAGACTGCAAATAGAATTTAGGTGCTAATTGATGTTTCCTCAGTCCTGTGAATTAAAAAAAGGGGGGGGTGAATTGTGTTGTATTTGAATCTTACATTGATAAATGTGTTTTTAAAAGATGTGATGATATAAAAGAGCCAGGAATAACTAACTGACATAATAAGCCCCATTGTTTAACATTAAATAATTGCTCAATGACACACCATAGGAGGGAACTCAGTAAAGGTAGGCTATGACAAAAAAAAAATAAATAATAATAAAGAAAGAAAGAAAAAAAAAGAAAAAGAAAAAGAACTTCATGAAACAAGAAGTATTTGAATTGAATCTTAGTGAATATGTGAAAATATATGGAAAGAGAAAAAGAAAAAGATTACCTATAAAAGGAAAATGAAGTACATGAATTAGTCACTTAAAAGTGATACACTGGGAATGATGGCATGGATGAAAGTCCCCAGAAGACAGTGACATTTCATTAGGAATACCTGAATTTACCTGTCAGAGCAAAGGCAACCCATCAAAATGAGATTGAGGGCATCTAAGAAAGTAAGACAAGGACTTAACAGGCCTGTTTTGGAAGTGTCTTAGTTACTTCTCTTTCTTTTTTTTTAAAGTAGAACTTTTTATAACTTATTTAAATTTCATTTTACATTCTAACCACAGTTCTCCCTCCTACTCCTCTTCCCGACCCCCCCTTGCCTCCTCCCCAGTGTACCCACAGTCCACTCATTCTCATAGGTAAGGGCTCCCATGAGGAGTCAACGAAGTCTGACACATAGGTTGGGGCAGGGCCAACCCCGTCTCCCACACATTAAGGCTGAGCATGGCATCCCACCATAGGGAATGAACTCCAACAATCATGTACCAGGCTTGTGTTGTGGTCCTACTGCCAGAGGCCCCTCTGACAGCCCAAGCTTCACATATGGAGGGCCTAGTTTGGTCCCCTGTAGTCTCTATCATCAGTCTAGAGTTCATGAGTGTCCAGGAGCTTGCTTCAGCTGTCTCCATAGATTTATCCATCATGATCTTGACCTTCCCTGCTCACTTATTCCCTGCTCCCTCTGCGTAACTGGATTTCAGGGGTTAGGCCTGGTTCTTGGTTGTGGATCTCTGTGTCTGGTTCTGTTGCTATGATAAAACATTCATGACCAGAACACCTTATAAAAGAAAGAGTTTAATCAGGCTGTGACTCCAGAGAATTTATGATGGTGGAGCGAAGGCACAGCCTCAGGCAGCTAGAAAAGCAGCTGAGAGCTCCCAGCTCATCTACAAGCCAGAGGCAGAGAGCCCATTGGAAAAGGCTTGGGTCTTTCGAAACTTCAAAGCCTGCCCACAGTGATATACCTCCTCCAACAAGGCCATGCCTCCTAGTAATTCCCAAATAGTTCCACTAACTTGGGAACAAGTATTCAAACATATGAGACTCCAACAAGGCCATGCCTCCTAGTAATTCCCAAATAGTTCCACTAACTGGGGAGCAAGTATTCAAACGTATGAGACTATGGTAGCTATTCTATTCAAACCAGTACAGGAAGTTAAGGAGAAAAGGTCTCAAGGAGCAAGGAAGAGAAGCACAACTGGGCTAGGAGACACTCTGAAGAAACAAGAGCTGAGCAGAGGCCACTGGGTCAGGGGTTAGGGAAAGCATGGGTAGCACAGCATGAATAAGAAAAGACAGAATCCAGTTCACTGGAACGTGGACACGCTATGAAGAATTCACACCGAGAGTTGACTCTGCTTTTGAGATGTCTTTACTGGAAAAGAAAGTTGGGCAGTGATTTGCATAAGAATCAGGGCAAGAGCCAAGCAGCCTCGGGAGACAGAGGCAGGTGGATCTCTGTGAGTTTGAGTTTGAGGCCAGTCTGGTCTACAGAGCAAGTTCCAGGACAGGCTCCAAAGCTACACAGAGAAACCTGTCTTGAAAAACCAAAAAAAAGAAAAGAATGACTGCAAGAAATTGTTCAGAATAGATAGGTACAAGGCCGTGTCTCTTAGAAAAATGAACAAAATTATTGCCTGCCATCACATGGTGTCATTCGAACGAAGGACAGAGACTAGCCATGAACAGCACAGACAGAACCTGTCTCTATTGGTTATACAGAATTCTGATGTGTTAGTCTGCATCTTAGCAACAGTTGTAAAGCAAAGGATATAACGCACAGCTGGCACTAAAAACT